GGTTTACAGAGGTGAGGATTTGGCATATTCAGTTAACTAGGTGAAATGATTCGCCTGTTTGTTGTCCTAGAGGCTACAGTTTGAAGATGATTTTAGGAGAAATCTGCAGGATACAGTGGAAAGTATAATTTTCCAGGGCCTTTTCCTTTTTTCCCTCTTCACTGGTGGCACCGTCTCTGGTGCTCTGTACTTAATAGATTTCTAAACATTATTGGTACCAGGATGTGGGAAGGAAGAACTGGAATTGAAATCAGTTGGCATTTCTGCCAGTGAGCAGATGTAAGTGTTTGGTATCAGGAAGCTGGAAATAAACAGTCTGGGGACTAGTTTTAGATTTCATAATTTCCTGTCTCCCGTTAGTGTGGGTAATTGAGAGTTGGTTGTATTTGAACTCGCTTTAGCAGAAATTGTTTGGCAGTGATTGAACCCAGGCATAGGGTTAGGGATCGGACCTGTGACTTCACTGGCGGAGAGAACTTTCTGGTGCAAAAATTCCCTCTTCTGGTGCAGGTTGGCATCTTCTCTGCAGCGTACAGTCTTAGAGTTACCTAGAGCATGGTAAGATTATGTGACTCATCTAGGGTCTCACAGCCAGTGTGAGTCAGAGGGGGCACTTGAACGCCGGGATCTTTGGCCCCCACCCCAGCTAAGCCAAGCTGCCCTGCTGAATGTGAAGGAATGGATATAGAAATAAATCTCTTAGTTGTCCCACCTTAAGTGCCGTCATTCAGACTTAATTCACGTCAGACACGATGAACTCCTTAAAACCCCAGAATGGGGCCACTGGGGAAGCTTGCTTCCTCAGCCTCCATTTTTGGAGGCTTTTATGAGAAGAATAAACAGTCGTCCATCCTGGATCCTTATTTAGTTACCTTCCTAAAGGTGGGAAGCATTGATTTTCTCATTCTTATCTGATCTTCCCAGTATTGTTTTTGGAATGAATGATGGAGGCATTTCTTAACCACTTTCTATGTGCAAAGCATGCTCCTAAGTGTTGGGGATTCACATCGAGAAGTCACAGTCCTTGCCCTCAAGGAGCGTACGTTCCAGACAGCTTATGGAAGGCTGCAGCTGCAGCTCACATGGAAAGGTCCCATGGTTCTTGGAGTGGGCAGTGGCAAAGCAGATGGTGATATCTCTCCTTTAATGTCATTTCCACTGGTAAAATCAGCAATCAGTTCCTGCTGTTGATGAACTTGAGCAAAACTTTGGGGATAAGAACTTTCTATTCTGGGTCTTCAGTAGCTGTAGCTGCAGCCCCTGCAGGAGCAGGTCCAGGCTGAATGTCCCCCGGGATGCACTTCCCAGGATGATGGCTGAAGGCACCGGGCTGAAGCATGGTTGTTCCCAAGGCTCTTGGCTTCAAGGTCCTGGCTTGTCTCCCTTAGGTTCTAAGGGAAGATGGTGGTCACAGTGGTGTTCAGGGTTTGAGCGGCCTGGCCCATGCTGCTTTCTGACTCTTCCTCGGGGTGCCCACTGCTTCAGCTAGGTTGGCCTGCCTGCTCTGTGGGTGGCAGTTATCAGCAGTGGTTCCTGGTGGTGATGAGGGGATCCCCTTTTCTAGAACGATTTCTTCCCTCAGTGATGGCTGTAGGGTATGGACTGGAGGCAGGTCTGGTGGTTTGGGGTCACTGCTCTTCCCAAGGCTCTTGGGCTCATGGTACTGGGCCTGGGTGGTCTGGGAAGCTGTGAAAGATAGCGGATGGATACATTAGGGAAACCTGTTCAAATGATGCTAGATTGTGTGTGTGTGTGTGTGTGTGTGTGTGGTTTTAAGGATGCCATGTTTAACCAGCATCTTGGCAATCCCTGGGAGCCAGACTCTAAAATTTTATGTTGATATTATTTAACCTTGGAAATACTAAGAACAGGGAGTGTGCTAGTTTTTGAGGTTCTGGGTTAGGCTCCTTGGATCTCTGGATTTTCCATTAAAGCAAAATACTTCTGTCTGTGCTACTGGTTTTTACTGAGAACAACATAGTATCTCTACATAATAGAATCCTGTTGGCTTAGTTAGGGATAAGCTTCAGGAAGGGGCTTAAAATTGTAAGAAACCCGTCTCCTTCCTCTGTGTGCCTGTTTTAAAGCATAGTATTATAACTCAGTCATGGAGTTGCTTCTTTTAGGCCTCTCTTCTTCCCAGGGAGGTTATATTTATTTATTTTTTGCTTTGTTTTGAAACTCTTTGTAGGATGAAGAGATGAAAAGCAAGTTCCATGCTCTGCTTATGGAGGAAACTAAGTCACTGAATCTACCTTTGAGCCCACCCCAGGTATGGTGTTTTGTTAAAGAAATGACTGAGTTTGAGGAGCCAGTGGTGGATTGAAGAACATAAAATATTTACACAGTGTCCATTTAGTGGTTTAAAAGACACCATTAAAGCCATCATTGAGAGAACTTTTTTTCAAGGTAAGACATCATAATTCTTTCCAAACTTTAAAATTCTTATGCTCAGCATCAGCCAGGTGGAAAGCTCTGTACCTGGGCTTGAGGGGAGATTCAGAGATTACAACGCTGGCTCCTTGACCTCAAAGAATTTAGAATGTAGTGGAGGAAAAGAATACAAGTCACCATTAAGACACAATAGAAACAAATCTGCGCGGTGTCGGTGTGGAGAGAGCATGAATGAGAATTCCAGGAAAGGGATTTATTGATCGCCCTGAGATGGTCAAGTCGGAAGTTTGAGGTGCTTGATCCACCTCAGAGGACTAACCCTGGGCCTCTTTGTTGAAGTGGCCTCCTTCTTTGGAGGGCTTGGGAGCCAGTAGAACATTGTTGCGATGCCAACATTGTTCCACGTAGTTGAGTCATTCATTGTCAGCTGATTGATTCGTGAAAACGTTGCCTGTAAAGTGCTTTATGGTGACCAGTTCACTGTCACAGCACTTTTTAAGGAAGACTGACAACTTTCTGTGCCAGCGTGAGGGAGGGCAAGGCCCCCAGAGGGGATCGTGAAGGGCAGATACCCAGCTCTGCCCTTGGGTGGCGCTGTCCTTCAGGTTGCTCCATCTGTAAGGGAAAAGAGAAGGCTTCGATGGCCTTTGACGTCTGAGTCATGTTATTTTACCGAAGAGAAAAAGGAGTTCATCTCCCTTGTTTTACAGAGGAGGGAACAGAGAATTAGGAACGTGGCCTGACGTGTCCAGTCACACAGATGGTAATTGTTAGAGGGGAGATTTGCATTCAGGTCCTCTGATCCCAGGGGTTGTACCTTTCCCACGGGGTCATAGTTGTAGCACATTTTTGTATCTGTTGGATGTTTTAAGACAAGCTGTTCAGCTCAAAGGTTTTTTTTTCAGCTTCCTGCAAGCAGAAAGCGTCCCCACGAAGGGGAAGAAGAGGATGAAGCTAGCTCTTCCAAACATTGCCTAGCCTCCACCTCCATGCAGTCAGCACCATTAAAAGAAAAAAGGGAAAGAAAGTGACTTTTATAGCTTGCCTTTTTGTTAGTCATTTGGGGTAATTTTCTATTTTTTATAAAGTGAATTTTTTAAAAAATGGAAAAATTGTTTAACATAATCATTGATGTACAAATAAAAAATTAATGTAATCATGGCTTTGTATTTGTATGATCAAATATGATATCAGGTATAATCAGTTACACATCTGGAGCCGAAGGAACCTTGGATTCGCTCTAGACCAACTCCCTCATTTTATAGGTGAACGTATAATCCTATAGGAACAGAGATGGGGCGGGGAAGGGCGCTGGCTGGGGAGTCACGGGGCCTGGGACGAAATCCCACCTCTTCCTCCTGTCTGTGTCCCTTGGACCAGTCACTTGACCGCCTCTAGCCTCAGTTTCCTTATCTATAAAAAGAGGGCTAGGCCTTGGCAGCTTCTGAAGTCCCCCCTAGCTCTAGAGCTCTCCAACCATCTATGCTCCAACTCCCTCTGTATAAATAATAGCAATTTGCTGTTAAAAAAATTAACATAAAAGTGCTTTGTGGAACCTAACAATAGCCCTGTGGGGTAAGTACTCCAAGTATTATCTCCATTTTAAGGAAGATAAGAAATTCAGAAGAGATTGTGACCCAGGGTGACCGCATGACATTGCAGGGTCAGGACCCAAGTCAGTGTCCTTTCAACTGTGCTTTGTAAAAGCCACCCCTCCTCCCCAGAATCAAGGGAAAGAATGGGGTGCTTCTTGAATGCACCCAAGACTCTCATGGATGGAGTTTCTCCTTCAGTGATGCAGCCATCCACGCCCACCTGTTGTGTGCCACTGATCTCTGTTGTAAGAGTTCAGCAGAGGAGTGGGTATTCATGGAGCCCTGGCCATCTACTGCTATTCCTTGCTCTTGCCATGGGATGGTTCATCATTGGTCTTGTACAGTTCCTTGGTAACATCCATTGGCTCCTGTTCTTTGGAGCTCCTGGATGACTCTAGTTTCAGCCTACTCCCTCCTACCATGTGCCTCTCCTTTCCTCTCTGTGACAGTTGGTTTCATTTCTTTGGAGAGTGTCAGATTAAAAGCCATACAGCAACACCAGTAGAATATTGGTATTGAAAGGATGAGCCTTTGTTTTCATGGGGTCAGCAAAAGTTAGGCAGTTTCCTGACAGTAATCCAGTCTACTCTCCTTTTCCAGTTCTGAGTCCCATTCACTGTCCCCTTGTACTACTTCTCAGATGTCTGTGTGTGCGTGCACATATGCATACATCACGTGTGTATTGTGATATTGTGTGTCTGTATATTTATACACACACAAGGCTGAACAAGTTCTAGAAGTGTCCCTCCAAATGCACTGAGGTCAAGACAACAGACATTTTTCATCCCCTCGATCTTCTTATGTGGATGGTCCAACTCCTCTGAGTGATTACAGATCTCTTCCAGAATACTCTCCAGTGTCCTGTGGCTGGATGCAGTCAGCCCAATGTCATTTGTAAACAGGAGAACCTCTCCATCTACCCCTTGACCCAGACTCTGTCCTGGATTCCCTCTTCCATCACTACAGTGAAAAGCTTTAGCAAGCCTACATCTCCCTGCTTCATACCTTGCTTGATGGTTATTCTCAGAGGGAACTGGCAGGCCTCAGACCTGTCAGTGGGTTGGGAAGTGTCCACCCAAAGCATGTGAAGACTTCCCTTAGTGGACCGGGCGGATGATAACAGTTTATTCCAATGGCCATGAAAGCAGTTGAAGCATGTCCTGTGGAGCACTTAGGGCTTTGTCTGTTTGCCTTAGTTTCCCCACCTGTAAAATGAGCAAGAGAAGCAAATGGCAAGCCACTCCAGTATCTTTGCCAAGAAAACCCCAAGAAAAGTCAGCCACAACTGAGAGAACTGAATAACCCAACAGATGTGGAAGATGCCAAGGTCATCTACCACATCCCGGGTCATTGCCAGTCTTCCTGACTTTCTTCTTGCCACTGGACTTTGATGACTGGAAGATAGTGGGGCCGACAGCTCTGTGCAACTGCCTCACTTAAATCCAATTCACATTGACCAATGCTGGTCATGACATTGCCCTGTGATTTCATCGGTCTTCTTCAAAACAAAGGACAAACAGCTATTATCAGAGGGTCACTGAACAAGGTTGTTTTATCTTCTAGGGAATCTTGAAGGATCATAACTTGGGTTGAAGACAATGTTGTGAACGAGTTGGAGGTCTGTGTTTTGTTCTACTAGGTCAAACACTGTTTCATAATCAACAAATGAGCACAATGGGATATTCTCTAAATCAGTCAATTGCGACATGGTAAAGATGTGGTTCCCTATTTAATATTACTTGTGAAAATCTGCTTCCCTTACTGAGGATGCTCTCAGTTATGGTCTGACTCACTCACTCCAGCTTCACACTGAGATGATCATATAACCCTTAATCTTGAGAAATCGCCCACAAGGGTTCTCCTTACATGTTTATGAGTTCTGAAATTCCTTTATGTGATCCTAATCTCTTATCATTCCATCTTTCCCTCTGCCTTATGACTTCTAGCATTGTTTTTTGTCTCCACTGTGACCTCCAATCTCTCCACCATTTCGTTCTTTTCCAGGCATTGGCGACACTGTCCTTCCCTTCCTCATCTTGACTACTTGGTGAATAAGTTTAACTATGCCCTCTTCTCTTCACTTGAGTCCCTTGCCCCCCTTATCCTACTGCTAATCATGCCTTGCCAACCCCAATCTTGGATTACTCTGACCATTACTGCCTTTGCTCTTATTCATTTGTGTAGCAGCACAAATCTGGAGAAAATCGTAAGACTGTCGCTGCTTGGGGCCACTATGAATTGATGGTATAGATAACCTCAAATGGGCCATCACTGGAGCAAGGCAGTCTTTTTATACTGCTGTAACACAATCACCATCCCATTCACCAATCTTTTCATCACTCTCATGGCTCCTTCTCTCCCTGCTCTCTCAGCTGAAAATCTTGCCTCACATAACACACTGAAAAAATTGAGGTCATTTACTAAGCTCTCTTTTCCCTCATCTCACCTTACCTGATGCCTTCTCCAAGAGGTGACCCTTCTCCTTGCCAAGGCAAACCCTTCTACGTGAACCCTTAATCCCATGACACCCTATCCTCTCCCGGTGAAGAGGTTACCCCTCTGTCATCTTTACTCTTTCACTAATCTTTGATCTCTTTCCTGGCTGAAGGACACGTCCATGTCTTCTTCATCCCTAAAAATCCTCTGTTTAAGCGGACTGACCATCCCGTTAACACCCTTCATCTCTCCTGCATCGTCATCTAGTTACATCCTTTGTGGCCAACCTTGAGGAAGCAGACTACCATCGGTGCCTCTACCTCTTCTCTCTTCTAAATCCCCTGCACTCTGACTTCCAGCCTCACTATTTAACTGAAATGACTCTCCAAAGTCACCAAAGATCTCTTAATTGCCAAAATCTAATGACCTTTTCTCATCCTTCTTGACCTTGTTTTGACATTTGATAACTCTCTTCTCCTGGTTATTCTTTTGCCTCCTAGTTTTCATAACACTGATTCTCCCTGACTCTGACCTGGACCCTCTTCAACTTTATACAACTTCACTTGGTGGTTTCATCAGCTCCCATGGTGTCAGTGATTATTTCTATGCAGATGCTTCTCGGATCTAATTATCCAGCTGTAAGCACTCTTCTGTCCTGCAGTCTCAGATCACTAACTGCCTCTTGGCCAGCTGTCCTGTAGACGTCGCAACACGTCTAAACCAGAATTCACCTTTACCCCAAAGCTCATCTTCCGAAATTTCCTCTTACTGTCAAGGACACCCAAGCTCACACCTACCCCACATATACAATGTGTTGCCAAGGCTTTTCATTATTATCTTCATAACATCTCATATACACCCCTTTCAGAGGCAGCAAGGTGGCCCAGTCGATAGAGCACTCAGCCTGGAGTGCTCAGATTCAGCCCCAAACACTTAATAACTGTGTGAACTTAGGCAAGTCACTTCACCTCTGTCTGCCTCAGTTTGCCCAAATGTAAAGTGAGGATAATAGCAGCACCTACCTCACAGGACTGTTGTCAGGGTCAAATGAATTAATATTTATAAAGCACTTAGCACAGTGCCTGGCACATAGGAGGTACCTAAGTGCTCAGTCCCTTCCCTTTTCTTTCCTCCTCTCCACTCGTACACTCTGATGCAGATCTCATCACTGGGAATTAGCCTGGACTGTTTCAAAAGCCTCCTGGTCAGCCTCTCCACCTCAAGACTCTTACCCAGTCCACTTCATCCTCCACTTAGGTGCCAGACCGATTTTTAAAAATTTTTTAAATTTATTTATTGTTTTCAACATTCACTTTTATAGGATTTTGAGTTCTAAATTTTCCCCTCTCCTTCCCTTCCCCTTCCCCAAGATAGCATGTAATCTGATATAGGCTATGCATGTATAATCATATTAAACATATTTCCACATTAGTCATTTTGTGAAAGAAGAATCAGCACAAAAGGGAAACACCACGAGAAAGAAAAAAAGAGTCTGCTTTGATCTGCATTCAGACTCCAGTTCTTTCTCTGAATGTGGATAGCACTTTCCATCCATCATGAGTCTTTTGGAGTTGTCTTAGATCCTTGCCTTACTGAGAAGAGCCAAGTTTATCAAAGCTGGTCTTTGCACAATGTTGCTGTTACTGTGTACAATGTGCTCCTGCAAACACCACTCCCCCCCCCCCCCGCCCCGATCTTATTAGAGTGTGGTCTGAGTGTGTCACACACTGGTCCTCTTCCACCCTCCTCCTTAAACTCCAGTGGTTCCCAATTGCCCCCAGGCTCATACAGAAAGTCCTCTTTGGCTTTTAAACCTTTTCCTGAGCCAGCCACTTCCTATCTTTCCTGTGTTCTTATGTTTACACCTCTCCACGTACTCTACTGTCCAGTGACACTGACCTTGCTGTTCCACCCACATGAAATTCCTGCTCCTAATTTCCTAGACCTTTTCACTGACTGTTCCCCATGCCCTGAATACTCTTCTTTCTTGTCTCTACCACTTGGATTCCCCGTCTTCCTTTAAGACTCAACTGCAAATCATGCGTTCTTCTACTGTTAGTGCATGTACACTATCTTGTGTGCACACAGTTGTTTTCATGTTGTCTGCCCTAAGGGCAGGGACTATGTGATGTTTTTGCCTTTTTATTCCCATGCTTTACACAGTACCCAGCACACAGTAAGCACTTAATAAGAGCTTCTTGACTGACTGACTTTTATAAAAATTTGTATACATGAGACACTGGGCATATAAGTCTGCAGGTATTGATGCTTTCTTCATCACCTTTTTACCGTGTTAACAAATTCTGAGGTTGTTTTTCCCCATCCTTTTGATACTTTTCCTAAAGATCTGAAGAGATATCAATGATAAACTTTATCATCGTCAGAAATAAAAGTATAGACACTGCCATATTAATGTGTAAATAGTGTGAAGATGCTCCAACTCCACCATGGGCCGGTTTCTTTTTTTTTTCCTTCATTTTTTTCCCCTTTTTATTTAAAGTTTTGAATTCCAAATTCTATCCCTCCCTCTCTCTCTCCCCTCCCCTCTACCTGAGATGGTATGTAATCAGAAGGTTATACATGTGCAATTGTGTAAAACATTTCCATGTTAGTCATTTTGTATAGGAAGATTCGAATAAAAGAAAAAAATTGCTGAGAAGAGCTAAGTCATTCACAGTTCTTCATCAAACAACATCGCTGTTACTGTGTGCAATGTTCTCCTGGTTCTGCGCCCTTCATTCAACATCAATCAGTTCATTTAAGTCTTCTTAACTTTTTCTGAAACCTGCCTGCTCATCATCTCTTACAGCACCACAGTATTCTGTCACATTCATGTAGCACTGCTTGCTCGGCCATTCCCCAGAGGATGGGCATCCCCTCGATGTCCAATTCTTGGCCACCACAGAAAGAGCTGCTGTGAATATTTTTTGGTACAGATAAGTCCTTTTCATTTTTTTATGTCTTTGGGACACAGACCCAGTAGCAGTATTGCTGGGTCAAAGGGTAGGCACAGTTTCATAGCTCTTTGGGCACAGTTCCCAATTGCTCTCCAGAATGCAATGGCTGGTTTTTTAAAAGACCAAAAGTGGTTGAAAGGCAGACTATCTGGAGACCCAATACTTGATGGCAGTAACAGTAAAGTTTGGATACAGTGAGTTGATAGGTCTTATTTTTAAAGTTTTAATTTTCAGTGGTAAGATTTGGGCTCTTAGAAATATAGGTCAAATCTTATTCAATAATAATCCATCAATAAACATTTAATTATCTACTATTTGCAGGATGCTGGGAAATACAAACAAAAATGAGATCCTTCATATCCTTAAGGTACTAACAGTCTATTGGGAAAAGTTTGCAACAGCTTATTTTAAGTAATTTTATGTCATTAAAATTTAATACTCTTAAGATTTGGACAGTCCCTTACGAGTAATGGGATCTCACCTATAAATTCTAAAGAGGATTATCAGAATGCCTTATTTGGCTTTTTTGAAATCCAGGGTGGGTCTGGGGCAACTGGCTGAGCTGAGGCACCTGGGATTGTGGAAAAAGCTTGCTGAAGAATCAGGAGAGATAGGTGACTTTGAACAATTCACTTTACCTTTCTTCCCTGTAAAATTAGGTTGAATTAGATGATGTCTAAGGTACCCCTAAAAGCCTATGATGCTTTGTATGTCAAGTAGAAGAATGGTTGAGAACAATTTTTATAAACATAGAACTTCATAACAATTATCCATTTAAAACCTTTGTTCACTCCCTCCCCATTACCTGTAGGATTAAGTTCAAAGACATATGGCTGGCATACAAGGCCTTTCATAATCTGCACCCAATTTACCACTCCAACTTTATCTCAGCTATTCATCTTCCCAGACCTCTCACTCCGGCCAAGCTGGTCTCTTCCTTATCCCTTGACCACATCCCGTCTTTGCCTTTTCTATCTCCTTTTATCCTATTTTCTGTCTGCTGCTGATTCTAGCTCTCTCCTCCCCTCTTCCCCACATTGCTTTCCCTTCTTTTCTCCAAGCCATCCAGCACAAATCTCTCTTCTATTATGCATGCAGCCTTCCTAAACCTTTCCGCCTCATTGGCTTATCTATTCTGTGAAATTACAGAATTTTAGAGATGGAAAAGACTTTGGAGATCACCCAATCCCCCACGTTCTACCAGGGTTTGGGACATTACCCACTTAAAAAGTTTAGATTTTTTTTTTTGTTGGCCACCTAAGAAAACCTTTGTTGACCCCATCTATAGTTCTTTAAGACAAGGATCTTGGGCCAGGTGGGTGGCCCACACCTGTAATCCCTGCTAATCTGGAGGCTAAATCACTTGAGCTTCGGAGTTCCTGAGCTAATAGAATGGCCTTCTTAAAATGAGCTCCTGGGGTGGGGTGAGGTGGGGTGAGGTGGGGGGGCGGGAGGGCCCAGGCTGCTTCTTAAGGAGGGGCAAACTGGCCTACATTGGAAATGATCACGTCAGTGTTTCCACGCCTGTCCCATTGAGAGCCGGGCCGTGAATGGCTGCTGTACTCACCTACCCGGGTGAGACTCTCCAAACAAGCCACGACAAAAAGACCACAACCTTGGCTGGAGAGGGTTATGTGACTCTAAGTGACAGGGGAGGGATCGAACCCAATTTCTCTAATTCCAACTCTAGTCCTCTTTCTCCTTATACCGTGTTGCTGTACGTTCTCCATCTGTGAATGAAACTGTTGGGTTAGAGCAATGAAACTCAAATAGAAATATGTCAGTCACACATGAACTTAGAAAACCACAAATTAACACTATGTTGTACCGCATTTTTATTTTGTTAAACATTTCCCAATTACATTTTTATATGGTATAGATCGCACTGGGGAATTTTGCAGGCTGCTTGCAGCCCTCTGGTAGGCTTAGAGTTTGATACCCCTGGATGAGAGGATCGAAAGTCATCTAACATCCTCATTTAACACCTGAAACATCCCATGTTTAATTATTAGTTAGTAGTCAACTAATAAGAACTAACATTTACACAGCGCTTACCATATGCCAGGCACTGTGTGAAGTGCTTTATAATTATCATCTCATTTGATTTTCATAACAACCCTGGGAAGTAAGTGCTATTATTCTCCTCATTTCACTGATGAGGAAACTAGGGTAAATAGGTCAAGTGATTTCCCCGGGGTCACACAGCCAATAAGCATCTAAAGTTGGATTTGAACTCAGGTCTTCCTGACTCTAGGCCTGACTATTTCTCCATTGCATTACCCTTAAGACCCAGGTCCCCCCCTTCTCCCCTCCCCACAAATAAACAAAACCCCTAATACTACCAGTATCTCTTTTGTTTTTCTTTTATTTCTTTGGAAGAGTTTCAAGGTGGAGGGTAAGGAGGATAATGATTGCCATCTCACTGAGTGATAGGATGTCAACTTTAGAACAACCTGGCTGTGGAGTCAGAGGATCTGTGTTTGACTTCCACTCTGCACTGATCTGACACTCAGTGTGAACTTGGACTGGTCACCAGAGGCTCTTCTTATGTAGAATGAAAGGGTCAGGGGAGACGATGTCTAAGGGCCTGTCCAGATTGAAATCTCGGACCTGTCCAGATTTAGTGCTAGAAGAGATCTTAGCGGCCATCCATATCAACCCTTTCGTTGACAAGTTGAAGGTTCTGAAAGTTCAAGAAACTGAGGTCCCAAGAAACGTGAGGAGGTGGATTGTTTTCAGTGAGAAAAGCCCCCACATGTAGAGTCCACCTCTTAGCCGCTCCCTGCCCACTTTTGGTCATGTGCTCCTCTCTAGGGACGTTTGCTTGTCCATAAAAGGAGAGCACAGCCTTGCTGGGCCTCAGTTTCCTCATCTGTAAAATAAGGGTGCTGAATTGGCTGATTTCAAAGGTCCCTTCCAGCTCTAAAGCTTCTTAATGATGACCTTGAAGGCCTTTTCTGATTCCCAAATCTTGATCTGCCAGTGACTCACCCAAGATCCCACAGCAACTTGGTGCTGGCTGAGCAGAGACCTGCAAACCCAGGCCTCCTGACTCCAGGCTGTGGTTGGCTGGCCCCTAGCTGCAGACTTCTCAGAGGACTGGGTAACCCCTTCCCCAGCTGTCTGACCCCAATGTTTGGGGCAAGGGAGTTCAGTCTCATTTCAAGAGGGGTAGTGAATTTATCTTTGAAGGTGAGGGAGGTATCACTGAGGAATGGAAAGATACCTACACATATGATAGCTCTCCTTTGGGAGGCTCCAACATATCTAGAGCATAATTCCATCAACACAAAGTCACCCAGTCAGTCAATAAAGACTTACTAAGTGTCTACTATGAGCCAGGCACTGTGGTAAGAGATGGATGTATAAAAAGAGGCAACAAAATCCCTGGGATTTGCATTCTAATGGGGGAGACAAGCAGCACATATATCTGTACAAACAAGCTATGGAGAGGGTAAACAAGAAAGAATGAAGAGAGGGAAGGTCTTAGAATTAAGAGGGATAGCAAAAGGCTTCCTGGAGAATATGAGATTTTAGTTGGGACCTGAAGGAACCCAGGGAAGCCACGAGGCAGAGACGAGGAGGGAGAAGAAGGGAGACAGCCAGAGAAATGTTTGGAGTCTGGAGATGAGGGGCTTGTTTGTGAAACAGCCACAGGGGCCAGTGTCATGTGTGTGTGTGTGTGTGTGTGTGTGTGTGTGTGTGTATGTAAGAAGACTGGGAAGGTGGGGGCAGGTCACAAAGGGCTTTGAAAGCAGTGGGAGGATCTCACCATCTAAAGCAGGGGCTCTTAACCTGGGATCCATGAATTTAAAAAGAAAAGTTTTGATAATTATTTCAACATAATTATCTTCCTTTACACATGGATGTACTTTGTTTCAGGCATTTAAAAACATGATTCTGAGAAGGGCTTTCCCATGCTGCCTGAGAAGTCCACATCACCTAAATGGTTAGGGCCCCTTGATCTGTAGGGAATGCTTTTGATTTGTACTTTGGGGTGCCCTTCCTCCCTTTGAGGGGGCCAACGCCCTTGGTTAGCACGTGTCTCCATGTTTTATGCCTCACTCAATTGCTAAGAGTCAGTACAGATCTGGTATATGCATGAGAACCCCTTGGGGGAGGGAAAAGAGGCTGGAAGTAGGGGCATCACATTTGTATTCCTGGACGCCGGGCCTCGAAAAGCACCCCAAGGTCACATTAGCTTTCCTGGCTCACATAGCACACTGTTGATTCACAATGAGTTTGTAGTCCGCTAAGACCTTCAGATCTTTTTCAGTCAAACTGCTATCTCCTTATGTCTCTCCCGTCTTGTACAGGTGAGCTTGGGGTGGGATGTAAGTGTTCTATTTATCACCATGTTTCATCTTATACATTCGGCCCAATGCCTGTCCAGCTTGCTGTTGTGGTCATGGATCTAAGGCATTGATCATGTCAATGTCATCACAGCACAGGCTGTGGGATCACAGATCCCAGGAAACGCTAGTCTACACCTCTTTCCGAGGGACGGCCACTGAATGAGTTCTGGAACCTTCCAAATATTTCCTCTCCTAGCACACCTCTGTCCATCTTGCCCCCAGTAATCCTGCTCCGCCAGGCCACCAGTGGGAACTGGGAGAGTTACTTCCCCTCAGTTTCCTCATCTGCAAAAAAAAGGGGGGGGGTTTGCCCTAAATGACATCTGAGCTTCCTTCCAGCTATAAACTCTAGGAAGTGAAGCGGGATGGCCTCTAAGGTAGCTTTGGACATTCTCTGATTTGGAAGGAGTTGTCCCAAATCCCCTGAGTCACTGGTAGAAGAGAGACCAGAAACCCAGGTCTCCTGACTTTCCAGCCAGAGCTCTGTTCCTCACCACCATATAGAGAGCTTGGTACCCCAGTGGTAGCTGCTGGAGTTTGGGAGGAAGCCCAGCCCCAGTTTGGGGATTGGGCTGCGGGTTCACCACCAAAAGGCGGGGGAGCACAGGACTTTGGAGCTACACAGGGACCTTAGAAAAAGCTGAGAAATTCTATGATTTTATGCTTTCCACTTTGTGAACATAATCTACCATGGAGACAGTAAGACAGGAAACATGGGTTCTAATTCTGGTTCTGCCACTTGCTAGTTATGTGACTATGGGTAAATCATGCCTCAGTTTCCTTATGGCTCAGTGGAGAAAACACTGGACATGGAGTCAGGAAGACCTGAGTTCAAATTCTGCCTTAGACACGTGCTAGCTGTGTGACCTTGGGTAAGTCACCTATTTCTCTCTGCTTCCCTTTGTTCATCTGTAAAATGGGGGTCATGATAGAACTTCCGTCTCAGGGGTGTGGTGAGGATCAAAAGAGATCAGATTTGTAAAGCCAGCATATGATTGTGAGGGGAAAGGCTGAACTAGATAAATCTGGATCTCTGAGCCCGGCTGTCCTTCCTAGCTATGGGTCATGGTGGACAGTCCCCTCACCTTTCTTGTCTCACCCTCGAGCATCCCACATATTCAATCAGCCTCAGATCTCCTCGCTTCTACATTCACAACTTCACGCCTCCTTCTCTCTTCTGCCCCTGCCATCTCCCTGGCACAGACCCTTATCCCATCTCCCCAGGACTATGGCAGCAGCTGCTGGGGGGTCTGCCTGCCTCAGTCTCTCCCCACTCCAGTCCATCCTCCATTCAGCCACCAAAGGGATCTTCCCAAAGAGCAGATCTGATTATATCCCTCACCCCTCAACCAGCTCGGTGGCTCCCTATTGCCTCCAGGAACGCATACACAAGGCTCTGTTCGGCATTCAAAGCCAGCCCCACCTCCGACCTTCACAGTCTGCTTACATCTTTCTCTTGTATCCGATAACACGACCTGGCTGCTCTACAAACAAGACCCTCACCCCTTTTCCCGTGGCTGGAAAGCTCTCCCTCCCACCCTCGGTTTCTAGCATCCCGGGCCTCAGTTTTCTCATCTGTCAAATGGGGTGGCCGGGTTTGGAATAGACGGACTCCGAGGCCCCCTCCAGCTGCAAGATGGGAGCGGAACGATGAGCAGCCTCCCGCCCCACCCCGTCCAGCGGGGTCCAGGGCCTCAGTTTCCCCCCCTGTGCAATGGGGGGGCCCGGCGGCTGGCCCCCTGGGCCCCGCCTCCCTTCCAGCCCTGCCCACTCCCCCCGGCCCCGGCCCCGGCTCCTTACCGGGTCCCGTTCCGCAGGCGGTCGCCCCGGCACTTCCAGGGTGTAGCCGAGGTTCTCTCGCTGCGTCCGCGGGCGGGGGCCCGGGCCGGGAGCCGAGGAGGCGGGGCTCGAACTGGGGCGGGGGGCGAGGGGCGGAGCGTCGTGGGGCGGGGGCGGGGCCGAGGGGCGGCGGGGGGCGGGGACTCCAGGCTCGCAGGGCCCCGCGGCGGGAGGGGCGCCGCCCTCGGGAACAGCGGCCTGGCTCGCGCCGGGCCGGGCCGGGCCGGGGGCGGGGGGAGGGGGCGGCCGGCGGAACAGCGGGAACATGGCGCGCGGGGCTTGCTAGGCTGGGCGGCCGCGGGACCGTTACCTCGAGGCCGGCGGGCGGGCGGGCGCGGGCACGAGGCGCGGGCCCCGGAGGGCGCGGGCGCGGGGACCATGGAGCCGCCGCCGCCGCCGGCCGCCCCCCCGGGCCGGGGCCGCAAGAAGCGGGAGCCCGAGCCGCCCCCGGTAAGTTGGCGGAGCGGCGGCCGCTGCCGCCGCGGGCACTTTCTTTGTGGAAACTCCGGCGCGGGCCGGGCCGGGCCGGGGAGGACGATGGGGGGGCCCGGCCGGGCTCGGGCTCCGCAGGGGTAGGGGCCGCCCCAGCGGGGGGTGTGGTCCTGAGAGCGGCCGGGGCCCGTGGCGGGTCCGAGGGAGGCGGCCACCTGCGGGCGCCGCGTCCGGGGGTCCTGCAGCAAAGTGCCGGCGGTGCCCGGGATGCGGGCTCCGGGGTGCGCGGCGTGTGCCCCCCTCTGCAAAGTGTAAGGGGGTGCACGGGATGGGGGCTCCAGGGTACGTGCCCCCTCTGCATGAGATGGGGGCTCTGGGGTGCGCTCCGTGTGCCCCCTCTGCAAAGTGTGGGGGTGCAGGGATGGGGGCTCCGGGGTACACTTTGTGTGCCCCCTCTTCAAAGTGTGATGGGGCATACGGGATTGGGGTCTCGGCTTTTCTAGAACCCAGTCCGGGTGCGCTCCATGTGCCCCCCTCTGCAAAATGTGATGGGGCATACGGGATAGGGGTCCCGGCTTCTCTAGAACCAAGTTCAGAGTTCTCTTTCCTTCTTTGTAAAGTGTGGGTGATGTGTGACGGCTTTTAGTTTTAGGTCCTTTGTCTTTCTTTCCAAAATGAAGCAAAGGGTGCAGGGTAGCATGGAGTAGCGGGGCTGGTCTTGAAGTCGGGGAGAAGTGGGTTCTAGGGCCACCCCTTTGCCGTACACCGTCTTTGTGACCCGAGGCGAGGCACTTCATCTCCCAGTGGCTCCAGGAAACTTTTCGGGATTCTAAGTGGCAGAGAAGGAGCCGATACGATCTGCTTGGCTAGAGGAAGTCCCTCCTCAAGTCCCAGACCCAGTAAAAACGAAACAGCCGCAAAAAGAAGGGAGAGGGGCGGACTGCAAGAGCCCCCAGCTTTTCCAGCTTAACTCCTAGGAGCTCACTTTCTCTGAGTGACAGCTTCCTCCACTGAAGTGGGTGACGCCTTCCAGCTTGAGGCTGTGGGGAGTCTCAGGGTCCACTTTCCCCTTCTGTAAAGTGAAGTGATGGGGCCAGACCAGATGGGTTCCTAGGTCTCCTGCAGATTTAAGTACTGTGACATCTCCATGCCCCCCTTCCTCTTTCCCTTCCTCTCTCACTCCCTTTTTTCTCCCCCTTCCTCCCTCCCTTCTCTCTGCCTCCCTCCATTCCTTCCTTCCTTTCCTTCCCTTCCTCACTCCCTTTCTCCCTCTTCCCTTCTTTGCTCCTTCCTTTTCTTCTTCCCTCTCTCCTTTTCCTCCCTCCCTCCTTCCCTTTCTTCCTCCCTCCCTCTCTTTCTCCTTCCTTCCCTTCTTTCCTCCTTTCTCTCTCCCTTCTCCCTCCCTTTTTCCCTCTCTTCCTTCTTCTCTCCCTTCATTCCTCCCTTCCTTCCTTTTTTCCTTCCTCTCTCCCTTCCTTTCTATAAAATTAAGTGATAGGGCTGGATCTCTAAGGTGTCTTGAAACCTTAAATCCTGCAGTTTCTTTCTGTGTTCCTGTTTCTTCCTCTGTAAGGTCAGAGGTTTGGATTTGAGAATCTCTTAAATTCTCTTGCAGTTTTAAATCTCAGAGTCTGTCTCTAGGTCTCAGTTTCCTCCACTGTAAAGTACAGATCTTGGGCTTAGTGACCTTTACGATCCCTCTCTGGTTGTCTGTTTCCTGCTCTGTGAAGCAGACAGGTTGGAACGAGGGCCCCTGAAGTCCCCTTTCCCTCTGAGTCCTTCCATCCCTCTCTGGGGCCCAGATTCCCCCACTGGGAAGTGACAGGGTTGGACCGGATGATGCTGAATCTTGTATGGCTTTCAGTCCTCTGGTCTCTTCCTCACTGGGTCTCCATTTCCTCCACATTTAAGGGAGAGGTTAGACTTCATGAGAGGAAAGAGACTTGGAATCAGAGGGCCTGGGTTTGCATCTCGGTTCTGTTGTTCAGTGCCATCCCCACCCCTCTGTGGGCCTCGGTTTGCTTATCTGTAAAATTGAGAGGTTGGGCTAGATGGCCTGTAGGGCTCTTTCCAACCCTAAATCTATGACCTTGAAGGTTTCTTGCAGCTTTAATTCCTTCTTATGGGCTCCCTGCATCCACTGCCTCCACCACAACGTGAAGTTGGGCCTGGATGATCTTCGGTCTTTGCTTTGAAGCCCTGGGGTCTTTTTCCTTCTCTCCCCTCCACTATGAGTGTGTACATGTGTGCAATGTGCATATGTATGCATGCCTACGTGTGTGTGTGTGTGTGTGTGTGTGTGTGTGTGCTGATCTCTTCAAGTTCTACCTTCTACAATCCCTCTTCGGATCTCTTTAGCTTCCTTTGGTGTCAGATGAGAATTCTGGAGTACATGGTGTCTCAGGTCCCTTCCCAGTCCCAGTTCTGGCAGCTCTGGATGCTTTCCAGAGTGGTTCTGAAGTCTGGGGGTGGGGAGGCAATCCCAGCAGACCTCTGTGACCCCTTGCAGTGCTGAGTTTTGGGATCCTGCGATTCTACCTTCTCTTTCAGTCCCTCTTGTTCCTTGAAGAACTGAGTTTCTTCATGGGAATTAGCTTTTGAGGTTTGAATCCTTTTCAGTGGGACTACACTCTGGGCAGTTTTTATGATGTGCAGCAGGTTTCCTGGCAAAAAGCTTTGAGAACCTTTGTCCACTCAGATGCATAACATGCCAACTCCTTTCGATAGATAAGAAGATCTGAAGGAACTGAAGTATCAGCCACCTCACCCTCATCATATTGGCAAAAGTGACAAAAAATGTGACAAACGTTGGACTTTGGGAAAACAGGCATGTTAATGCACTTTTGGTGGGGCTATGGATCAGCTCAGCCATTGTGGATTGCGATTTGCAAGCTGAAAAATCAAGACAGTGTGTGTAGCCTTTGATGACATTTTGTACTAAGCCTGTTCCCTAGAAAAAAAATCAAAAAAAGAGGACAAGGACCCACGTGCACAAAAATAGTCAGAGCAGCTCTTTCTGTGGTAGCAAAGAACTGGGAACTAAGGGAGTGTCAATCAGCTGGGGAATAGTTGAATAAAAAGGAATGTATATGAATATAATGAATACTGTTTGCCATAAGAAACTATGAAAGGGATGGATTCAGAAAAACCCGGGAAGACTTATATAAACTGATGCAGAGAGAAGTGAGCAAAACAAATAGAGTGATTTATACACTACCGACAACACTGTGAAGACAAACAACTTTGAAAGACTTACGAACTCTGACCCCTGCGATCTCTTGATTCCAGAGGACTCATGATGAAGCATGTGATTCACCTTCTGACAGAGAGGATATGCATTCAAGATGCAGAATGAGCATACACGTTTGGACATGAACGATATGGGAATTTGTTTTGTTTGACCATGGATATTATTGCAAGGATTTTGTTTTCTCTTAAATTGGAGGTGGGTAAGAGGGAGAAGAAGTAAATACTTCTTAATTGACAAATGAAATTTAATGTAAAAAAAAGATAATTAGGATCACAAGATTTAGAGATAAATGGGATTTTATACTATCTGTTTACAGATAAGGAAAATGAACCCTGGAGAGGATATTGTAATTTGCCCAAGCCTAGGGGTGTAGAAAGTCAGATTATGAGAGCCATTTGGCCAGAGTAAAGGGCCGTAAGCAAAATGAATCGCACTGATATTGGTTCAGTTTGACAGCGATGGACAGAATGGCCCACAGAGGTAGCATAGGTCTTCTGTGGGATACTGGGAGAGCCTCCTTATTGAGGTCATTAGAATTCGATGTTCTGTTAATCTCCCAGAGCCTCTCTTTTGAAGGTGGATTATTTCCTTGTAATTCTTCTCTCCCTATCGAGTTTTAATTTTTCAATTCTTACTGCTGTTAATGATTCTCATTGTCAGTGCTTTCTAGAAAAGTATCTGACTCTGTCAGCTAGTTTGGTGATTACTTGAAACTAAAATACTAAACATTTGCAAATGTTAAGCAGCAGGAACTTTTGAAGCAGGTAAATGTTTACATTTCTTCAAAGGAAATCTGAATTCATGTGTGTTCGAACCATTTGCAATTTATACGGAGCTGGGCATTTGTAATTTATATGTCACATTTAGGAATTTGGTTGTGTCTGGTTCAAAGTCAGTGCTCAAGTGGTTTGGCAAAATGACTGGCTACCTCAAGCACTGTTGCCTTCGTTTTGGCAATTCAAATAAAGGTTGTGGCTTTTATGTGAGAGAAAAGCTTCTGCAGCTAATCTGAAGGGTTGTGGCAAAATCTGGGAAGGCCAGACCATGGTAGACGAGATGGCATTCGAATTGATCTTTAAGAAGCAACACCAGGTTGCTGTTGGTAGATTCTATGCTTGGCTTTGAATAATCACATCAAATAACCCATGCTGCTTGAAGGACTTTGCTCACCTTGGAAGCCAGGCGATGGCACCTGTCCATTTCATGTGAGGAGGCACAGGGCTTAGCCCGAGGTTCAGGCTGCTGCCTGGGCTCTGTGTTGGAATGATGAGATAGCCCAGTCCTGGAAGGAGGGAGAGGTTTTCTTTCCTGTTCCTCCATTGTTGGGTTCTCTTTAACAGGGGCAGTGATTTTGGAAGGTGGC